TGAATAACATTTATTACATTGATTTATTGACAAATAACATTATCTACATTAATGTATTTGCTCTTTGGATTTACATTGATATAGCAAATTTAGGAATGAGGTTGAAACAACATAACCAAAACAACATGTTGGCAACCAATTAATGTGACTTTCCTCACCTTTATGTCTCCTCCCACTTCTTTCCTTCTTATCTAGTAGACAAACTTGTTTGTATTCTCAGGTTGAAGAGCTAGATCTGCCTTAACCAACTCCTTTTTGGTCATAAAAGAGATTGATAGCTTGAGTTGAGAAATCAACAGCCACAAGGTTGCTCAATGTATCTTCAACCATTACTAGGGTTTGGTCATTACAGGTAATTATGTGGGGTAGAATTTCTTCTTAATTCCCTACCGACTTGATAACATGGCCGTTGACAAAGTCTACCTAGTTTGAAATTTCAAATAAAGAGCCAAAATGGTTCAATAAGTTCTAAACCCCTTTGATCTTTGAAAAGTCGGTGTTGAAGTATGTTCTTCCGCTACCTCATCCATCCATCATGTGTAGATCTTGTTTATCCTTAAATAGGGTTAATTTTCTTTTTGAAAATGAGGAAGATGATGTCTCAGCTCATGTCCATGACAAGACATTTCTCATTCTTGTTCAATAGGGAATTCTGAGATTGTGTGACACGTGTACTCTTCCTTGGTGATTGAGCTATGTGGATTTTTGTTTTTATGGTGCAATTTAAACTAGAATTAGAGAAATTTGAATTTGAGAAAAAAGGTTTTTGGTTTTAGAGTAAAAAGAATAGATGAACAAAACTTTTGAAATTTGGCTATATCTTTTGGACATAAGAATATCGATGTTTTCTACCAACTACATATAGTGGTAATACCTAGAATAGAAGGGTTTATGTAATTTCTCCAACAAAACTATGCTATCGTTTGCATTTCTTACATATGGCTTCTATGAATGTACTCTGCTAACTGTTTGTCTCATTTACTATACATGTATAAGAAATCTATTTTATACCATTGAAGTTACATTTCCTTCGTAAGAAAATGCCCAATCAATTAAGGAAGAATACACTAATGCCTTTGTTTACAAATAAAGGAGATATACAAAATTATGTTAATTATAGGAGCATAAAACTAATTTGCCATACAATGAAATTGCGGGAAAGAATAATAGAAACTAGGTTAAGGCAAGAAATAAGTATAATGGAAAATCAATTCAGTTTTATGTCAGGAAGGTCAACAATGGAAGCCATACATTTAATAAGAAGACTATGTGAGCATTTTAATGAGAAAAAACAAGATTTACACATGGTCTTTGTTGATCTTGAAAGAGCATGTGATAGGGTAAATATAGATATAATGTGGCGGGTGTTAGAAAAGAGGAGATTGAGAGTGGGATATGTAGAAACTATAAAAGACATATATAATAATTCAACAAGTGTGAGGACCCTGTAGGGATTTCAGATGAATTCTCAGTCACGTTGACCTGCATCAAGGGTCGACATTGAGCCTATCCCTTTTTGCCTTGATAACTGATGAAATTATTAAGTATTTGCAATTAGTCATCCCCAAATGTATGTTATCCGCGGATGCTGTAGTTTTAATAGATGAAACGAGGAAGGGGGTAAATGCCAAGTTAAAAATTTAGAGGGAGACGCCTAAATCTAAGGGTTTTACGATAAGTAGGACTAAAACAGAATATATGGAATGTCATTTTAGTAAACGCAGGAGTAATAACATGTTAAGTGTTAAAATCAATGAACATGAAGTGAAACACATCTAAAAGTTTTAAATATTTCGGATCCATTGTAGAAGAAATGGAAGTATTGATAAAGACGTAATCCATCGAATTCAAACTCGGGATAACAACTGGCATAGTTCGTCTCAATACTTTGTGATCGTAAGGTACCATTGAGTTTGAAAGGTAAGTTCTGTTGAATGGCCATTCGACCGACAATGGTTTATGGATCCAAGTGTCGGGCCAATAAATATGAATATGAGCAAAAAATGTGAGTGGGGGAGATGAGAATGTTAAGATGGAAGTGTGGACATACTAGATTGGATAAGATTTGAAATGAATGGATTAGAGAGAAAATATGGATAGCACCAATAGACGACACAATGAGATAAAATCGCTTGAGATAGTTCGCACATATGTTATGAGACTGGTGGATCCCCCGATTAGGAGAGTAGGAACTATATATAATCAAGAATTCAAATTAAGAGGGGTAGGTATAGGCCTGAGAAAGCTGAGAAAGAAGCCTTCGGAAATTATTTCAAATATTTAAATTTGAATGATAATTTAAAAATGGATCGAGTATAATGGTGACATATGATCCATATAACTAACCCACTAGTGAGAAAAAAGATTATTGTAGTTGTTGTTGTTGAAGTTACATTTCCTCCATCTGCGGCCAAATCTCAATTCGTTGAAAGCTTTTTATAACTTCCTTATCAATGAGTTTATGCTCTACACGCCATAACATTAAACTAAATAAATTTATCCAAGGGAAAACAAATTTGCTCCTAACTAGTGACATAAGTTTTGCGTAGTTTAAACTCTCCTCTTCTAAGGTAGGCTGCAGACTGTATGGTACTACATAATCTCGAAGACTCACCAAGTAAAATTATGACCATTTTATTTGTTTATTTATTTGAAACTAGACCAGAACTTGGTGGGCATGCTTTTCATTTCCGTATATGAAAATTAGTAACAAGAAATAGTGTATAAAACTTATAAAAAATTTCTTATTATTATCTCTAAAATGAACATTTATAAAAAATCTTGTAACTACATCATGTGAAGTTCTAGCTAAGCCACAAGTAAGGGAAGCATCTTTAAAAAAATCAAAGCCCCTTTAATAAAATTGGATGGATTTGATTGCCGCTCAAAAATAGTAGATTGTCTAACGAAGCCAAGGAACCTAATAGATCCCACAACATTGTCAACAAAATAGTACTTAGAACGGAAAGAAAAAAAAACACAAAAAACTCTACCATGGGAATTACTTACAACGATATAGTGCATCCACCACAATCTTGTTATTAGCTTGTACTAATAACTTTTTCAATTGCAATTCCTCATATTTACGAACACCACACAAACAACCTTGAATCTTAGCATTCAAACTAGTACTAAGGTTCAAGGAACCCTAACTCCCCATGTACAAAACAGCCTCCATCCTTATAACAAAACAATAGCCAGACTTCATAGACATACCAACAGCATAGCCATCTAAACTTGAAGTAAAGGTGCCATCTCAGGCAGTTTCTAACTCACCACTTTAATTGCACTCTGAGGCAACTTCCAAAGAAAAATGCCTTCGTTGACTTTCTTTGCTCTTCAAGCAATCGACAGATCTTTGTTGAAAATCTTTTCCTTGTCTTCTCGGTTAGAGTTTGATTTGGCTTTAGTTCAAGTTTCAATTATCAATCATCCTTAAGTTCAATATCTATTAGTCTCTACCAAATAACCGTAATAATATAGTGATCATCCAAATTTGGAACAACCACTAATGGCCTAACAGTGACCACATCACATTGATATTAATGTGCTTGAGATATTTGACATGTTTATAACTCTTGCTAAACATATAGCACCTCCTTCTAAATATGTTATTAGAGAAGAATCGTACAATACTTGATGCTATTTATGTGATGGCATACATCCAAAATGGTCTACTTTACTGCAAACCATTGGTGATCCAATAAACCTAAAAAAGTTGTTTCCATATATAGATGGAAGAAGGGTGTAGAAAGTCGAGTGTGCATTTGGAATTCTCAAAAGGCGGTTTGAAATTATCAAGGGGTGTCATGTCAGCATGCATTATAATGCAAAATATGATGAGAATGAACGTAATACAGAGGATTGGAATGAAATGGCTACCCCCGAAGTTGATTCAATTAGAGATGAGACATGTATTTCGACGTAAGAAAATCAAAGACAGAGACGCTCATGATGAACTTTTTAATGCACTGTTCCATCATTTTTGGGATCAATATGATAATCTAGATGATCATGATTAAGGGTTAAACACAAATGTAATATTTTGTACTCTGTTAATTTGAAATTTTTTTAATTGAGTGATTAATTATATATCTTTAATAATAAAGTATATTTATTAATCATTGGCTAAATATTATATAAGAATAATTTATTGTGCATATATGAACTAACATAGTTTAAATAATTGTAAAATATCATTTGAGACAAATTTGCACAAAACTTGGCTGATGAAAGTTGGAGCGCAAAAAAGTTTGGTGAAAAAAATGTTTAGAACATTTCTTTTTAGCACCAAATTTAGTGCAATCTATAATGCAATGGTTGGAGTTGGCCCAAAAAATCCAAACACGAATTTAATGTTCGTTACTTACCAACCGCTATAGGGATGAGCACTAGAATACGAGGGCTGCATCGAATTACCACACATTACTTCGGATGTGGAAGTCTCGTCCAACGAAGAAGGGAGATATGCTGTGGCTTATCATTTATGGAATGAAGAAATGTTCGAATTCCATAAGCCAAGTAAAATGGCAAGATTTGGTGTGAACAAGCCAGAGGTGAATTGGAGAGTACAATGCTTTTGCATGAAATTACTGCTAAAGTGTCAGTTTTGGAGCAGATTCGCCTCAAGGCCTCAGTTTTGTGAGAGATGAATAGGAGTCTGCAGAAATTTCGATTAGGTTCTGTAATTAATGAAATTTATGTTTTACCAAAAAATAAATTAATAATAATAATAATGGTACAAAATCCAAAAGAAAAAAGAAGACTAGCTCATTATTTAAATAATGGAATGTTGACAAGATTTACAACGCTGGGGCTGAAAAAAAAAGGCCTAATATACAAAGAATATGATCTAACCTACACTTCTATACCCAGGCTTACCTATGAAACTATACAGAAGGGCAAGGGACAAAACATCTCACCCATTTCGTGCAAAATATTATTGCAGAGAATAATTACAAAACTTTCAAAGATAACACATTAAAATCTTGTGGAAGAATTCAGGAAGATGCGAGCAAAGAATCTTTAATAATGGTATCCGGATCTAACAAAGGTTGTAGCCGTTCTTCGACAGCTTTGCTTTGCAGTTGCATCTCTTCCAATATCATTGATAAAGAAGCCATGCAAGTCGCTTCATCTCGAAATGCCAATGTCCATCTCCCATCTACAAAAGCTCTTGTCTTGACTTTTCCGATGGTATTGTATTTGGCCGAGTCAGCAAAAGGGAAAGCGGAAGGACGTATTCGGAGATGCAACCATCTCGGATGTTTATCATCTATTCGGGGCTGAATTGACAGAAGGGAAAAGAAAAGAGAAGTTACCTATCATTTTCAACGAGGACAAAACATGAATATCTAGAAATTTATCATTTTGTTCTTTCAGGTACATTTGAGGGAATAAAAAGAAATCCAACTTTTGAGGCCAACAAGAGAACTCTTGGGAAAAGAAAACAAAGCAACTCTAAGTTTGCCAAGAGACTGAAATTGGATATGGAATTGAAAAAGTTAATCATGTTGATTGTAGCAGATCATTTGATCCAAGGTAGAACCACAACCTAATACAATGTTCATATTGCGCTCTTGGGTGCATAAACACATTTTACTTTTTGACCTATCTGGTGCATTTCAGACTTGGAAAATGTTGTGTAGTGGACAGGTAAGAATATAGGTTTAAGTAGACAGAACTGCTGGCACTCACTCAATTTCGGTCAATGAACTTAGAGAAGTGGTCAACTACGAATATCTAAACAATTTGATTGACCAAAACCTACCACTATAGGCTTATTGAGCACAACAAAGTAGTGGAAGTAGAAACAAAATTTCACTAAATATTGCACCCAGAAAGAAGAACGAAAAAAGAAATTCACTAAATATACTTACATTACATCCAGCTAAAGGCGCTACAACTCGAACAATACCACAACCTGGCTTTAAAGGTAATTCTTCTGCCAGTATAATCCAACCAGAGGTTCCTGAAGAGACAGACAGAAAGCAAAAATGGCGCTCTTTTCCCCTCTCAAATGCAATTCTACAGGGTAATGCATCACCTGGACATTGACCAAAGCACATTTAAATAGATTTCAAGAGACAAGACTGAGATAAGACATACAGACACAAAAAGAAAAATCAATGAAAGTTGTCGGTAACAGAGATGGCCAGAAAAGAAAGAACTTGAAGCACTAACCAACTTTGATTTCGGAGCTTGGTTTCGGACTCAAACTACCAATACCGGCCTGTTTAGCTCGAATGTTTTGTGTGACATCACTTTGAACACGTACAGGAGGCTGCTCGGGAATAATATTCCCAATCGAGAACATGTGAAGTTGATGTAATAGTACGAACGCCTGAAGAGAAAGAAATAATCATTTAAAGTGTGCATCCTTGGACATCACAACTTTTGCTTATTGACAAAAAGCCATCATTCACAATTAGCAAGATGCAAGCATGCCTTGCCAACTAGTATTCTGTTCTTATAGAACTATCTATTTGGCTTGAGATTTACCTTAACCACCTCACACATCCTTTCACCGGCCAGAAAAGATGATTCGCTCGAGAACAGCTCTGCTAAGAGAAGTAATTGCTAAATCAAGTGTATAAAAGTAAAAGAAACAAAAACATGCCCATGCAACAGACCACCGAAAGGATTCTCCTTGGACAACTAAAAATCGAACATAAAATATGAGTAGTAACAATAAAATGGGGATAGATGTCGCCATACCTTCGGAATTTAAACTACACTGTGGCAAGAGTATGCACTTGGGATCTTTACGGGGTGATGAAGCCTCATTTGCTACAAGAAATTATTTCATTCTAGACTAAGTCAAAGCACAAAAAGATAGGTTTTTTCAAAAGGTGGAACATTCAACCAATTTACCTCTTTTGCACCGGCTCCATTCATCAAAAAGAACTTTTATGAGCATATCAGGCCAGGTTCCTTTCGTCTCATCAAGGACACGTCTACAACACTGATGGAGTGACACCTAGGCATGAAAAGCTCTCATTCAGCAAACCACATCAGGGCTTAGGTTTTTTGAGATTAAGTACAGTGAACAGTAACATGCAAATCTTAGAGAGTCAAATCCTACAACTAATACGCCCCAAACAAAATAAAAGGTATTACTACGGAAGAACAGAGGCTATTAAAATTCATCATTTACTAAGCATCCTAAAGGCATGTCTGGCCCAGAAGAATAAGGAACTTAAACAACAAGGCCATTCTTGATGTAACAATTTTGACCTAACATAATTGATAATTTAGCAGAGCTTTTTCAAACATTGTTGGCAGTAAACAATGACTCATAATGCAAGCAATACAAAATCCTCAATAATCGTATCAGTTTGTTATGAGTAGCTTACCCTAAGTGATTCAAGGTGACTACTGTTGAATTCTGTTTCACTATAAGGAAGCAACTGACGCAAAAGCCAACCACCGTCCCATAATGTTTCTGAAGATATATTGGATCTGCAGAAAAGACTGACCAATGCATCGAGCACCTAAGATAAGAGAAAACAAATGAACTTAATATAGCAAAATTCAACTCAAGACAAGAGTAAATGAGTATATCAAAGCATATGAACAAAACCATTAAATCTGTAACTGGAAGGGACCATCATCTTTTTAGACAATGGTAGGCACTTTCTAGTTCGGGATCCACTTTTTTTTTTTTTTAATTTTGTAGGAATATGTAAAAAGGAAAAGATAAACAGCTATAACTGTTTTTCAGAATATAAGAAACCCAGTTTCGAGGTACCTTGCATTCTAAAATTATCATTTACAAGTAAATGTTTTCATACTTGAATACCCTCCAAATGCACAAGGTGGCATTATTCTCACATTCTCTGATCTTGTTAGATGATACTGGTTAAAGCTTTCAATAGATATTCCAAGATGCAGAGGTTAAATTTCTTCTAAATCCCATATAAGTAGTATGGGACTTGTCATTTACATTACTTAATAATCCACATATCTCAACCAGAAAGAAGAAAAGAACTAATGAGAACAATATCTACATGTCAGCCAAGATTCACAAGTTCTCCTGGTGTTAAAACAGTTTTATCTTAACCATACAATTCAATACTAGCAATGTATTCAAATCTTGAACTGGAAAGGACCATAATCCGTTGTAACAATGATAGGTACTTCGTAGTCCGGGATCCAGTTTATTTACTTTTATTTTGTAGGAATATATAAAAAGGAAAAGATAAACAGCCATAACTGTTTTTCAGAATATAAGAAACCCAATTTCGAGGTACCTAGCATTCTAAAATTATCATTTACAAGTAAATGATTTCATACTTTAATACCCTCCTAATGCACAAAGGTGGCATTATTCTCACATTCTCAGATCATGTTAGATGATACTGATTAAAGTTTTCAATAGATATTCCAAGATGCAGAGGTTAAGTTTCTTCTAAATCCCATAAAGTAGTATGGGACTTGTCATTCACATTACTTAATAATCTACATGTCTCAACCAGAAAGAAGAAAAGAACTAAACTGAGAACAGTATCTACATGTCAGCAAAGATTCAAAAGTTTTCCTAGGTTAGAACAATTATATTTTAACCATACAATTCAAAACTTGCAAAGTACTCCCTTCCCCAAGAAAATAAACTATACTCCTTCTAGGATGATTAAAAAAAGATGTCTTGCACTTCTACTGATAATCTGAGAGGCAATTGCTTGGCCCTCAACACCTGAAGCTAAGGCATAATATCTTTAATAATGTTTGAAAATTTAAAACATTTAACACCAAAAATATGGATTGCTTGTAGAATCCAAACATTCAAATTTTACCTGCACTCAACTTTCAAAGACTTCTTAAGGACTTAAATAAATGCACATAAACTATTTTCTTCAATTTTATTTTCATAATTTCATTACACCAAAATTCAAACTTTGTCTAGAATATGTTCAGTGAAAGAATTTGTCCCTACCAATACACAACTAAATAGACAGAAGAATCAGCCACATAAGAGTTAGTTGAGATCAGAATAAATAACAATCTAGACAGGAAGTAAATCCATACTTCGGTTCTATGTGAATGAGCGCTAGTTCCAGCTTCCATCCTAACACATGAAGCACCATATTCATCCTGTCAAAATAAATAACATCAATTCAAACTAAAGCTGCATTTAAGTCATCATAGATTACTGAATGTTTAATATTCTTTGTGAGCATATCATTTATAGAGATTGAATAGGCACAGAAGGTTACTCATCCTAACACAAATATTTCCAACATGATTGCTATTCTGGATGCCCACACTACTACCAACATTTTCTAAGGCTTCCAATATTTCCAACATGATTGCTATTCTGGATGCCCACACTATTGCACCTGAGGACAGAAGTTCTTTTTCTAACTCTCCTAATCTCAACATCTTCTAAGGCTTCCAAAGCATACTCGCACATCATTGTGAGCCAAGAGTTCGCCAAATAGGCACAGAGGATATACAGAAATGTTAAATTGTTAAAAATTTATTTCAGGTGAACATTCAACAACAGCTTGACGAGGAAAAAAAAAGGAGTGTCTGTCTTTCTTTGTCGATGTCTGCGTCCAATGTTGTTTGTATTGAACCCTCTAGGAATGGAATTTAAATTGCTCCAAAAACAAAACAAAATAGAAGAGCTTAACGAAGTGTTTTGGTGTGAATCTAAACAAAAGAAAATAAACTATCATTTCTGTTGTCAGCCATATTGTAATTGCCCAATTAGTGCAGCGCTTATACTGTTCCCTAGAAAATTCAAACAGACAGTTGGATCCGGCCATGATCTGGAAGATCTGGACTAATATCATTTCGCTTATTTCTTCCACAACTCTACAACTCTCTCAAAAGCTATCCGATTCTTCCTTTCTCTTCTCTGATAATTTAACTCAAGTTCTTATTTGATCCAGCACTCCGCAAGATCACAAATTGGTATAAGCATGATTCTGTGAAGGAATTATGAACCGCGGAAGATCATGTCAAGAAAATTGGACCTCAAGAATCATGAATGGGGCTTAAGCTCACGACCAAGACTCAAACTCGGAAATGAGTCTTAATCCCAAAATTGATCAAACTTAAAGCAGCTCATACAAAATTAAGTGATATTTCTAAGTCTAACATGTTATATGGGATGTAAAAGGTGACGATAAGGTAGTAGAGGTCCTTAAGGCTTTGCCTAAAGATGGCTCGGGCAGCCAACAGGAGAAGAATATTTGGACAGAATCTCAGTACTGTTCACACGAATGCTCATTAAACTTTACCTAAAAGGAGATTAGTGGCGCAGCATTATTGATAGTTGAGTTAACCATTCTTCAGAATGAAGTCTAGGGTGAACTTGATTTTCCATATGAGAAAATCTAGAAAACGGGGCTAAGGCAAAATCTCTTTTCATTGAATCTGAACAAGTGCTCAGAACCTGATGCGATATGTTTAAAATTAGATGAAATCCCTTCCCAGTCATACTCTTAAAGAGTAACTTATACTCTTCAGATATCATGCATTTAGGCTGCATCAGTTGCCAAAGGTTACTAGAATGATTGGGAGAAAGCGTTAAACCACTTTTGGTAGGAGCAGTTGAAGAATAACAGAGTTTTTTACACTTAAAGTGGAGCCTGCCACTGTAAGTGCCTGGAAAACAGAGAATAAAACAGCGCTCCGAAACCTATCTCAAGTGCTTTGCAGGTAAGATTCCGTGTTGGTATAATACCGCTATTCATGATATTCCAGACCACTGCGTGTTAGTATAATACCACTATTCATTCACTACAAGAGATCCCTTCATAAACCCTGTATAATGGAAAACCAGTTCCCTTAATTTAAATCATCATATTGACATCATGATCCCTGCTACTCAACAAAGAACTAGGCTCTGCAGTCAAAGACTACTTTATAAGGCTAACAGTAGGATGAAACAGTCTGCAGACAACACACCATCGGTCCTTTCACATTAGAACGTGAGTGTGTAAAGCTACAAACTTATGAGCATTAGTACGCAGCTGTCAATGAAAATGTTAAGCTACGCGGTACCCATCCTTTCAAGTGCATCCCAAGGCAGGAGGTTGTCGATACACTCAAACTTACAGGCTCCCAGCAAAGGGAATCCAGTAAAGCAGGGCACTTAGCAGTTGCCACTTGGCAGCAACTGTCCATACACCTCAAATGAAGCTAGCTCTCTAGAGCCAGATTAGGCAATGAGAGAAGGATATGAATAACGGACAGTGAGTTCATGGAGATAATCAGGTGAGAGCCATGGGTGTAGAAGATTCTCTTATTAAAAACCTTAACTACTCACTGTTCCAAACTCATAAACTTTGAGCAGGATTGGTCAAGGACATGAGCATTCTATATGGGTGCACAAACATGAGAGAACTTCAAAAACATTCAGTCTATTGTCGAATTAAGGCAATTAGGTCCTAACTGACAATTAGAGGGGAGTTAATGAACAAAGTCGTTCGAGGGTCAAATTGTCAGTGATCATTCCATTACACTGTAAGCACACAGTTAATCATTGTGTATGGCCATGATCTGGATAAATTGAACTGGTCTGAACTCTTTGAAAATTGATCGTTCTACTACCTCAACAGCTCTCTCTTTCTTCTCGGCATCTTCAAATCACACTAAATTCTTATATTCATTCAGGACTCCTCAAGATCCTGACAACACCTCACTAGGCAACTTTCTCACAGTGAAATAATTCCAGGCATTGCTATGCTATCCTCCAACCTAGAAACAATTTGTTGTCGGTTTTTTGAAATAACTCTGCCCTAGTTTAAAGAAACTCGTAACCATTGTTCAGTCTTCTAGGAAACCAAGGAAAATAAATGAGGACAAAATGTAACAGATTAAAAAGGCCAGTCAACTGTCAACCAAATAAAGAAGACGGGGAGTTCAACGTTAGAAAATAAGCTTGTGAGATGATCAAACCTTTAACTTTTTGGCATAGCTATCAAATTCACTACCAAGTTCATCTTTTATCGCATAATATCCCGAGGAAAATAGCAGCTCCTCTTCAGATCCCTCACCAACCAATGCTTGCTGCACAACAAAGACACAGCTGTTAGTTTCAGAAATATAAAAGAAAAGAAGATATGATAATTATACCGCAAATTATCTTAGTAAATAAGACACACACAAAATTCACAACATAAATTCAAGAAATCATTTACATGGAACTATACAAGCACAGTCCCATACAGTTGCAGGTAGTATCACCAAAATTAAACAAAGTATATTTCCCTAATGAAACTCTAACAAGCAAGTTATTAAAAAATGCAGGAACATCATGGGATCAGAAAATAAGCTACGGAATGAGAATAATATAATGAAAATGGGAAGTAATTCTTTAACCTTCTGATTTGAAAAAAAATTTTCTTTTATATTTCTTTTACGTTAGAATCTTACATGTGCTTTAGGCTCCAGTAAGAATCACAATATGGGACTCACAAGGCAACCTTTACCCATACAAACAGTAGACTAGTCATCAAAATAACCCTGTCCACATATCTCCACAGTTTATGTTCAAACTGTGGAGTCAGTTAACCAAAAAATAAAACAAAATGCAATAGCTATAAAATTTGATAAAAAAGTAAATGTTTACAAGCGGAAAGAAAAGGCTAGAATTGGCACCATGGCCAAATTGTCCATGATTTTCACCAGAAAAGTGATGCAAAGAACCACCAAGAATACAAAATGAGACAAGAAACATCACTCCCTCCGTACAAGTATCCTTGAGCCACCACCACTCCCATACCATTAAGAAAATGAGGAACAGAATATGCTTTAAAATGAGATTTCCAAGAAAACAGAGACTGAAGCAAATACAAAATCAAAAGAAGCTGTACCAGCAAGAGCTTTTTGTGCTGTTTTCTTTGGGGAAGAATACCAAGAGCATCTAGCATCGGTTCATCCAACTCTGCGGTTTTAAACATGGATAAGGACAAATACAAAAGAGCCAATAACTAGCTTTTAAAAGAGTAAGAGATGCAACCTTTTGTTTGCAGCAAAGTAGCTAATACACTTAGGGAACCGGAAGCCTGAACATCATCTCCATCAGTAATAAAAGAGAGCAAAGCCTCCCTGCCAAAGGTAGAATTTTAAAAAAAAATCATACTTGGACCTCCTATTTCCACGTAATTCAACAGAGTTTCTTTATACAGAAAGCAAGTTATGCCCAAATCAAACAATGACCTGAATGCACCATTCAAAATTCTTATAATCACCTCAAGGTATACGAACCACAATGTCCATGATGCAGTGTATCTCCCGAGTTAACTTGTGAAGTGCTTGAAACGGATGGGGTGGCATCTCTTAAATCCATATCCTTTGAATTTGCACACGCACCTGTGGTACCATGACCTAATGAGTGGCCATTAAGCTTAGCTTCATCTCCTGGTGAGAAGGTATCTATATGAAAGAGAAGAGCAGCACCAACAGTATTTGCCAGATCCTTGATCTTAACTATCCGCAGAAGGCAACAAAGCAAATACAAAGAGCTTGAAACACCAATTTCAGATACCTGAAATATAGACCACAGAGGATTGTTTACAGGAAAAGATAGATAGGAATTAACAAAATAAAAAAATAAAAAATAGAGTTTCCTTCCTCCATTACCATCCTCAGCGAAGGAAGGATCAATGGAAATATAAGAAGCTTCAAAATATTGTCTGTTATTAACTTTCCAACATCCGGAATCCCAGCAGAGATGACATCACTGAAGTAATAAAGATTGTCCTCAATCTCCTCAACAGCAGAAAGAATCAAACTACATGAATCTGAGCCTGGAGTCCTGTTTGAAAAATCAGATTCAGAAAGCAAGAAATGTGAATCATTTCTGAAGAAATTAGACAAACAGAATCTCTTACATTGTAGCATTTGACACCAATCTGCTCAAGCTGATGCACTGCTCTCGGAAAAATGTGACCAAGTTTACAAAATAATCTGCATGAGGGGCACTAGCTACATATCTGTTCACAGCTTCATCTCCAACTGGAGACCAGCCAAACATTATCCTGTGAGTCCATAAGCTAAACGATTATATAAGATCTACATGGTGGATTTACAGCAACTCACCATGGTAAACATTTAAAGTCAAAGCACGAACTGCAATACGAATCATTCCTTCTTCGTGGAAAGCAAACTTTATTGCCTCAACATAGAGTGGGAAGGACACTACATCATCCTGCATACAGGAAAAGAATGTTATAGCACTCAAATCAGCATAATATGAAAACAAATAAATAAAACAGCCTATCGAGATCTTGATTAATGTCTGTGCAGAATACTTCAGTACAACAGTCTGCACCTAAACTAAATGCTGAAAGTGGATCGATTATTTCTGCACCTAAATAAGATCATCGATTTCACTAAATCCTACTCCCGTCTCCCTCTCTTTATGTCTTTATCAGTAATTTTTAAAGCGACCACTTCGCAGATATGAATGCCAAAACTTCACACAGACAAAGACAAAAGTACATTTAGATTTCAGAGAGATGTTAGGCTCACTAAAAAGCACATTGTCTTGTTCACTAAAAAAAAAAAAAAAAAAAACCCACATTGTCTAGCCTAAGGCCTACGAAGTGATGAGAGCACAAACAAAGTTAATTATTCTAGTCCACTTCAAATAGTCCAGTAACCCATCAGTGAGCTCTACTTACTACCTCACCAAATAATTTTGAGTTAAGAAAATAATAATAGCAATTACAAACTAATATCTTTCCAAATGGGATATATATGCAGACTCTAGTTAATGGGACTTCTATGATGATAATCGATAAATAAAAGAAAAAGAGTACAACTTTAATGCTAACATTAAAATTCAATAATAAAACTGCAAACAAACAATAAAAAATGCTTCTTCAATATTGGGAAATGCTCCATAACTTATAAATGACCCTACAGTAGCGATTTTAACTACCCGGATCTTTGAAAACACCAACATCCAACATCCACAAACATCTCCATTTTCCAACATATTATGTTCAGATACAAGCCCAAATCCGCATCTCAGTTTGAGTTTCAGGCTCGAAGGGAATATTGATGACCAAAGTTTTACAGCCACAAACTTGATACCATAACCATCTTCCCCAACCTTCCCCCCCCCCCCCCCATCCCAATCCAGTTTCCACAATTGAAAGCAATATATAGAAGACAAACCAGCATTTATGATATTTAAATCAAAACATCATCATGAAACAGGTAGCAACTGAAAAGGCAATAGAACATTAGGTAGGAGAATCCAGCAACAGAACAGGTAGCAACTGAAAAGGTGATTAGGTAGAAGAATCCAACAACAGATTAGAAAATCACAGGTTAACTAGTAGAGACCAGCAATAATTATCAGATCAGCGCAAAGCCTGCATCGAGAAGTGAACAGGATAAGGAATCACTGGGATTTTTAGTGGTTAACTAATAATAACTTCAGCAGTAAATATCTCCACTGGGATAATATACAGGCATCGATTATCTTCACTAGAATTACTCATACTCACCTTTTCTTCAATTACAGGACCATGCATAAAAAGAGTCAGACAGAACATTTCTTCTTAAGAGTATGTGTTACTGCATACATGTTGAACAGGGATAGGTAACCATAGAGTCAAGAAAAGATTTCTAACAGGAGAAGTGAGGATATTCTCTTGTGTGATGTGACTATATCCTTCATTCAATCTCATATCACTGCCGTACTATAGATGGAACTGGAACCCAGTAGATTCAGTGTAGTATAAGAACTTACCACAGCAGCAGGAATAGATCCAATGTCAAAGGTATTAGGATTCAGTTAGTAATCAAAAAGGCAAACAATGAGCCTACGAAACTGACATATCTAGGTCTCATATTCCGCACGTTAATTGGGGCAGGAACTGAAGTCTTCTCTATTTCTCCTTTGAAGCTCTCACGTGAGGATATGAATTGCTACACTAATTAAAAACACCTGATAAATGTGGTGTAACACGAGGACCCTTATCCCTTGCCATCCAAGGACAAGTGAAGCAACCCATCACCGTAATTATGTCAATGGATTCCAAATTTATGACTGTGTATGACACATATGTAGGACATGCATGAGCACCGTCCCAATTAAGACAGAACATATAACAGAATGCAAAACCAAATAAAGAGCAAAACACCAAGTTACAAGCTTTCTGATTCTTGTAATAAAATTTGTATATTAAAGTCTAGACTAATTTGCCACCAAAGAGAGAATGAGGACAAATGAGACAAATAAAAAACCAAAGCCTTATGGTTCCATTACTCCGACAAATGAGGACACAAAAAAAAAAAAAAAACCAGAAAAAGAAATGCTAGGTAAAGCTCTTTAATTATTGCAACTGGGAAGTACTGTAAAATCCTAACAGCAACGAAAAAAAAGTTGAAAATCTAATACAGAACCCATTGGTGGTGGCCCAGAGGACAGGCAAGAATAAATAACTAAACAATAAATAACCCAAATGATTTACATAGGTTCACACACAAAGGTAACTTTGAAAATTACAAACATTGGACACTGTAATTAATTCGCAAGCAAAATCATAAATCAGCAGCTTCAGGAACTTATCTGGTACATTTTAGTATTGAAAAATTGGCGACAATACATTGAGTCACAATTCAACACAATTACAACTAATGTCTTTCAAAATTCATAATCAAATAGACTACTATTGAAGCCGATCTTAATCCTCATGTCCACTTCTACTCTGCTAAATCTACCTTGGACCCTCTAGTAATTCTAAGCGACTAACGATGCTTCCAAACAAAATTGTCACTGAATGGGTTTTAAGAAATATCTGTGTTGAATGTCAAAGGGACTCTAACAATTACTCATGCTAACTTTCTTCTAAGCAAGCCATGGCAGGGTAATACATTCATGTGTTCAACATGAATTCAGGATTAAGTAGGTGTAAAAGAAGACCTCTGAAAACTAAAAACTGAATAAGTATGTGTAAAAGACTATGTTAGAGTAAAAGAATAAGCATAAAAAGACCAGAATAACTTACATCATGAGTCTTTACCAGCAATGAAATAGTATTTTTGTTCAGTTTTCCACTTATTGCTCTAGCCAACGTGACAAAAAGCAAGTAACCTTTGGTTAGAAAGTGAAGATCAAATAGCTTTAGTAATTCAGAAAATATGACATTCGTAATGGGGAAAAAAAATTAAAAGGCGTGACAAACCTTAGGAAAGATATGTAGTAAGATAACAACTCCTCATTATGGAAGTCAAAGGAATATGTTATGAGGTAGTTAATATGTTCATTACTGAACATGTAATCTGCAAAGTTCAGCAAAGCATACAGTCATCCACCATGTGGATTTTTGAAAGGTAGAGAGTAAGTTGTTTCCAATTTCCAATTAAGCAAATCAAGAATGACTTACATATCGAGTGTTCACTTCTAAGGTTTTGTATCATAATGCTCATTGTCTGCAATAGCTGGAGGGAAACAACTAAAGTTCTACTAACTTTTAATATGCGTACAAAAGTCCCCATGACCTGCTTCTCCATAAAAAAACTGCAAGAAAACAGATGAACAGAGTACTGTGGAACTGCCCGGAAAATATTCGACCTGTCAAAAAGAAAAGGAAGTTTGAAGTCTCACTCGAAAAAGGCTGGGTCATGTTGGTCACCATAAGTTATGAGCTCCGCAATTGATCGCAAGGCCTCAATGACGAAGTCCTATACAAAAGATGATAAACGTAACTGCATTGTAATAAGGACCATAATGGAATGGCAGAGGCAAGAAGTGGCTACCTTGTTAACATCATTAACAACTTGAACCTTCATTAGCTGGTCAGTAAGATATCTGCACAAATTTAAACATGCTGTGTAAGAATATATATAGCTTTGACTATGCGGACCCACCTTAGCAAACAGAAGCACATACATGCTAGGCGGCAGAAACTATGATCAAATTCCACTTTCATTAAAATAGAAAGCAAAAACAAAAAAACAGAAAAAAAATTGTTGTGAAATCAGAGAAGTACATAGCCATCAAATCATATGCAAAATTACCCTAAATCATATCTAATTCAACAAATCAAATTCTTATTCTTTCTCCCTCCCACAAAAACCTAACATCAGTTTGGTTACAAGACTCCTATACACATTGGTGTATCAACGTTCTCTCTCTCTACGCGTGCTTGTATATTTTCAAGATTACATGTTTATGTGTGCTCAATGCATAAGTTTTCTGGCGAAGTTGAACAAGTAAATAATGAGGAGAACATCAAACTGTTAAAAAACCAGTCAAAGATCACAAAATGTGTTCAGTTTCTTCAATAATCTCAGACAACCACACGAAAACAAGGTATAATTGGAAAAAACAGCATGGTTCTAAGACACTAAGAATAATGGACAAAAGGTTTCCAAACAAAGTTCAAAGGTCAACATGAAAGACAGCTCTTGAACCGTTTTCATCTTATCATTCTTCTCCTTTTTTTTATCCTTGACCAGGCAAACCTCTGAAAACAACAATATCTCATCAAATATCCAACTTAACACCTAGGTTCTGCAAATCATGCCCTGATTTGTGATCAAGAACTACAAGAGACTAGAACTGAACCAAATGGATATTCCCTCACAAGTACCAATAAGATAATGTGAAACAAAAGCGCATAGCACTTTTGTAGCTCAGGCGTTAACTTGAGCTCTTACCTTCGGCGTTTAGTTATCAAACAACCAGCCCTAAAGGTAATCATAAACTAAAAAGAAGCCAATTCCAAGAGAAACAATAGGTCCTGATCAACTCCTAACTTTAGTAACAAGTTGACTTACACTTTAGCTTACAAAGACAAAATCGTTTTGGACTTCAACGAAAATTGAGCTCGAAACCAGTAGTTTGCACAAATCCGCATTACACAACATTAATTTACATCCCCAGAACATCAACTAAACAAATGTAAAGTTTAGGAAACAAATGCAAAGTAAAGTTTCAGAAAATAAACTCAGAGAAGCGAGCTGAGTTAGGTACCTGAGTTCATCCAAAGAGAAACGATCTCTGGATCTCCAGAATGAAAACCACATAGTATCCTTTCCAAATGATCCTCACGGGTCGAACTTCTTTGTATCATCAACATTCATTCTTTCTCAGAACAGCCCATTCAGACAATACCCGAATTCCGAATTCAATTCCAAAACAATGACAAAAACCTTCCCCCACCGGAAAACGCCCAATTTCGCGGGAAGAAGAAGAAGAAAAAAAAAAACCAAAATTGACAAGGGTTCTTGCCTACAAGGAGAAGATCAAATAGCAGTAAAATCACAGTGCAATTATATATATATGGGAAATACTACTTAAAACAGACGAGGAATTTGGAAGCGGTATTTTTTTCCAGGTTTAAATAATTACGTAATAGAGGAAAGTTTGATGATGATGAATGATGAATTGATGGTGATGATTCGCAGAGCTGGCAACTTTGATTCCTGTTCGGGTTTTGGAAGCGGGTCGTGTTTGAGGAAATTCCCCCTCGTTTAGAAGAAATTTGTCGGATCCGGGTATGACATAAGTATCACCTGGACGATTATGGGTTTGTCGGATCAGTACATTTTTTCCCCAAAAAAAAAAAAAGAAAAACGAGAATTTAAAAAAAAATATTACTTTTTACAGTTTAGAAATTACTCACATGCAATTCATTTTGGACGATTTTACCCCTGAACCCTTTTTATTCCCTCTTTCTTCTTCTCTTTCCTCATTTCTTCTTCTTTCTATTTTTCTCCTTCTCCAATTTCATCTTTTTCTTCCTTTTTATCAAATTTTAAAAACATTAGTTTACTAAAAATCGAAATTTAAAAAAAATAGCGGAACAAAACACACAACAACGGGAAGAAGCACCATCGATACCGGTAAATTTTTTGCCCCAAATCATATTTAAAAAAAAAAAACAGACTGCTCAGGCTGGCCGACCCGACCGGCGGTCAGCTGGAGACCAGCCAATCTTCTACCCTTGGCCGGATTTCTCACCGGCCAAGGTTCCCCGGCTGATCGCCGGTCGGGTCGGCCAGCCTGGGCAGTCTGTTTTTTTTTTTTAATTTTTTGTTGTAATTTTGTTGTTATAATTAATTTAGTTAAATTTGTTTATAATTAATGTAATTAGTTGTTGTATTATTGTTTGATTAATTTAGTTAAATTTATATATAATTAATGTAATTAGTTGTTGAATGTTGTCTTATTATTTTTTATATTTCATTTATTTTTTTTTTTGTGTTTTAGTAACATGTTTAATTTAAATTATTAGGTATAATTTGTTTAATTTAATAATTAGTTTATATTAGGTATGTGGTATATATTTGTTTAATTTAATTAAATTTATAGTTGTATGTGGTATTTAGCTTTAATAATTAATTATTCTTTATGTAAATGAATTAGTTATTTTGTTATGTATATTGTATTTTTTAAAAGTTTTTATATTTCATTTACAGGATTATGGTGGTGACGGTGTTGATTACAGTCATCATTTCGATAATATTATAAGATTCGCAACTATTGAAGTCGCTGTGCTATGGGCGAAAAGGACTGCAATATCTCTTAATTTCAGAGTGGTTAAGGCCTTGAAGACAGATGAGACTAAGAAATTATTACGATGTCCAAAGGGTATTCTTCCTAGAGATACAGAGAATCGGGTGCGAGAAACAAAGGCACAGTATTGTCGATGCCCGTTCCGGCTTCTAGCCCAAATTCACCCAAGCGAATCTACTTTTGGGATTCGTTCATGTCCCGGTCATAATGGTGCGTATAACCACCCGTTTGGCAGCTTCGAGGAGGGACAGATGCAGATGAGCGACCTTAGTGATAAATCGAAGGCGATTGTTGATGAGTTGATTGCCATTAATGTAAAACCGTCTGCAATGCTGCGGGCGATTCAGCAGAAATGCCCGGACGAGCACGTTGTGATCAAACAGATATACAACTATAAGAGTAGGATGTAGGTGAAAAAGAGGAGGGATAAAACGTTGGTGGATCACTTCTTTGACATTACTCAACAACACAAGTATGTGATTACTGCGGCTAATGAAAAAGGTGTGTTGAGTCATATTTCCTGTGCACATCCAGTATCTGTAAAGTTGATCCGAGCATACCCGTGGTATATTGGCATGGATACTACTTATAGAACAAACAGGTATAATATGATGTTGTTACAAATTATCGGGATAACTCCAACCAACAAGAATTTTTTGATTGGGTACGTAATTATGAAGGATGAGAAGTAGGAGAGTTATACTTGGGCATGTCAGCAGCTTCGGGATATGATTGGATGGGAGGTGCACCCGTATATCATAGTGACAGATAGGGAGTTAGGGCTAGTAGAACCAATCAGTTTGATATTTTCAGATTCTGCACATCTTCTGTGCGTGTGCCACATCAACAAATGTATTTTTGAAAACGCACGGCGGCATTTTGGAAAGAAATTCGCGAACTGGTGGAAGAAGGAGATGTTCAATCCGATACTTGAAGCTCTTACTGAGTACCTTCATGAAATGACTGTGATTAATATGTCGTACTACAGGCACCCAAATACGAAAAGTTATGGAGAGTTGGTGCATTATGTGAAGTCCACTCGGCTAGTTCACAAGGATAAGTGGGCTCGTGCATGGACAAATGGGGTCACACATCTTGGAAACACAAGTAATTGTAGGGTGGAGAGCGCCCATAGTTCCATGAAGAGGTTTCTTGACTCGGCGACCAGTCACCTAGTTACAATATGGACCAGAATCCACGCAGCGATCGAGTATCAGTTAACAGAGATCAAGTACGTAATTCATTCGTTGTTTTTAATACTTAATTACCAATGTTCTTATATTAACAGTGAGAAATTTAAAATGTAGGTACCGTCTAACCAAATCAGAACGCCGTTCGAGGAGAGAGCACCTTCAGTTTCCCTATGACCGTCTAGTTAGACGTGTCTCATATTGTTGTTTGGACATTCTTCAAAGTGAGTATATTCGCGTGCAGCAATTGGGTGGGGATGATATTTGTGGTTGTGTGTTGAGAACGACCCATGAAATCCCATGTACATGTGAGCTTAAACAGAAAAAGGAGTTGAAGTGCCTATTACAGTTGCCGACCTCCACCCTTTTTGGTGCAGATTTAATTTCACAAGTGCGACACCTGATTGGGCCCCAAGTGATGATGCTCAACCTTTTGTGTCAGAAGAGCATACGAATTTTACAGAGCTTTTCCTAAAGGCATTTAACAAGAGGCTTGAATTTTTGAGCCGCGTCAATGAGTTTTTGCACCATAAGCTGGAAGAACAGGAACACCATGAGCAGCTGAGTTTCGAGGAACAAGAGCAACACCATGATCAGATGAGTTTCGAGGAACCTGCAGTGAAGACAAGCGTTAAAGGGCGCCCGAAAGAGAATATCCCGCGGAAACGGTGTTATTGGGAGAACTATACTGTTGGTTCAGGGAGATCGCGCATGAGCACATTCTCGCCTATATACGATAATAGTCATAAGAATGTTTTGAATTTTTTTTTTTTGATGTCACATTTTATTTTTAAACATTGTGTTTCGGCAGTGTACATAACGTGAGTATTGTTTTTTTTAGGTGAGCAAAGAGGTTGGAGGACTGATTTTAATTCATATCAGTATCGGCAATCTATTCCATCTTTTATGGTTCTCTTCGTTCGGGGGTACCTTGATGTGAGGGGAGATGGGAACTGTGGGTTCTGATGTGTAGCAGAGTATGTTCGACATTCAGAAGAGAATTGGTCGTTGGTCCGAACAACCATTATTCAAGATCTTATTAAATGGCCGGATTTATATGATCCTCCGTATTACTACAACATGGAACAAAACATACGACGGTTAAGGTGGCTGGTAGGTGGATGCCTTCTGCCTCATTATATGGAATGCACACAAGACTTGTACGCGATTGCTACAATCTGGAATGCTGCAGTTTTTCTGTACGGTCTCAAGAATACATTAGGCAGGGATCTGGGTTTTTATTGTTTGATAGTGTTGCCCCTTCATGATCGTGGAGACGCCGGAAGACCAACTCGTGAGATTGTGCTTGTTCACCTCTGCTGTGTAGATTATTACATTTGTGTTGATTCCGGTACTGATTTTTCAGTACCTCCTGTATATCCTTATTGGTTTAGGTGGCGTGACAACAATGTTGTATTAAGCGATTTTAGTCAGTACAAAGTTGTACTGACAACAAGTCAGTACAAAATTTTCTTCAACGATTTTAGTCACCACAAATATTTTTTCTACTAAATTTAGGGCTTGTTTGATAAAGTCACTTAATGCTTAAAATTATTGGATTAAGTATTTTTTTTTTATTTCAGAATGTTTAATAACAAAAAATGAACCTCTTGATAAATTAAGTGGTGCTGAATCTGCACAAAATATAAGAAATAAAAGTTAACTTATTGCTTATTACGTAACTGTTTAAAGAAATCACTAATTTTTTATCAAATAGGCACTTAGTCTTTTTAACAAAAGTTGTAAAAAACTCACGGGTGTACTTTGACCAAGATTTTGATTATTAATTTTTTCTTTTTATTTTTAAAAAAAGAATGGAATTAAACCTTAGCTTTCAGACTTTGACACACCAAAAAAAATAGAGAAAAAATGGAACAATTGTATTATTTTATGAATTTTGCGTGAAAACAAAAATGTTAAAAAAAAATAAGCTACTACTTTTTCCATACATTAAAAATACAGGTTATGTAATTGAAATATCTTAAAATTTTATTTAACTATAAAATATAAATTAGAGGGAAAAAAATAAAACCATTCTACGTCGAATTACATAATCATATATCTTACACCACTTCTTTGTAACTACGTTTATCATCATGCTGCTAACATTATAATAATAATCTAATATTAGAACACTAATTCTATGTCTCAAACTAACCTTTAATAAAGCAATATATAGTTGGTCATGATTAAAAATTGCACGCGAGAAATATAATATCATTTGGAAGAAATACTAGATCTGACTTTTATTTATGTCATTGCAAAACAAATGATCGAGAAAAATTATATATATATAAGGGATATTTAGTATTAGACAGGCAAACTGACACGCGAGTAGTAATACAATATTGCCCACAGTACAAGATCATCTTTACTTGAATGATCGATACAGTTTCCCAACATAAAAATATCAAAACCTCATACCATTACACAATCCAACTCACGAGTTTATATTTCTGAATAATATGATAGGAATAGCTCCTTTGATCTTTAACTTTTGTGTTAAGCTAAAGTTTGAATGAGAAATTGGTTTCTCATGAGATTGGAAAATAATGGTTTCTCATAATCTGGTTTCTCATAATATTGTTGGAAATAAGCTAAAGTTTGAATGCGAAATTGGTTTCTCACGAGATTGGAAAATAATGGTTGTCAAATAATTTGACCGTATGTAGGTGCACCTATATACATCAATGACGGGATGTAATTCAAGGACCTGATCAACCCGTGTTTTACAACTGGATATAATTCTTCCAGTCACTAAATAAAGACATTATAACTGAAAGTTAATATGCCATTTTTTTGTGGCTGTTGAATTTCTTTTAATGAGAATGTAATGGTCATTGAATTTATACTTTTAAGTGAATTAAAGTGAACATTCATAACGGTTTTGACCATTTGAATGGACTCTCTCTTTCCTATATGAACGAGTTTATTTTCCAGAATTCCTACACTAAGAAAAAAGACCCAATTCTTTCCATTCTTTCATTTAGCCAAAATCCTCTCATCCTTTCTTGGGGTTCATCAAAGTCCAAGTTCCAATTCGTTGATGGTTTAGTCAAAGTGCAAGACTAGACAACGTAATCCGTTGTATCCTTGGAGACAGATACTTGTTCGTCCTCTAACACTCTTTGAGAGGGAGCGAATTTGTTTTAAGAAAAACTTGTTATCACGTGCCTTGAAATTCCTTTCTTATTCTTGAGTTGTGATTGTCATTACAAATACTTCCAACATTTCATTCATTCATCCACAAAAACCACCTAATACTAGGGTTTGTTGCAAACAACCAAAAAAGAAAAAAAGAAAAAGAAAGGAAAAACAAAAGAATATATTTTTGGGTGTGGAGACTTGCTTGAGGATTGGGAGCAGAGATGTAAGGAACAGGGGAAGCTACGTGAAATACACGATGGCATCAACAGCACAAATGGATTGGTAATCCACCAATCAGCATTCACCAATTTGAGCTTCTCATGGCCAAGTTTCTTCAATGTATCCATTGCAAATGGAGGTGGAAGAATTTTCATTGACAATTCATTCAACTTTGTACTAATAATGGATTAGATCAAAATGATTTATTTAAATTCGGACGTTTTTTAATTTGATGAAGTTTTCCAAAATCAATACATAAATGCACCAATGCATCTTGGGTCGTACTACTTAAACAGCCTCTCTGTATTGATGTACAGAGGTAAAGCTGCGTACATCTTGACACCCCAAACTCCAATCGAGTTGGGAATATGTTGGGTATGTTGTTGTTATATGGCCAAGTTTCTTCAAATGAGCATATTTCTCATTATCTGCCAGAAATTCACAAGAACAAAGTTAAAAACTCACAACACTTGAACACAAAGTAATCGCAAGCACAAGAACCCTGTTTTCATTTAATTTATTTTAATAAATTGAAGAAGTGCATAGCAATCCGTTTGAATTTATTTACCTTGCCAAGTATCTAGCTCTTTCTGCTTCATCCAAAAGACCCAAACCATTGACCTTGTTTCCAGGGGATTTGGCTTCTTTACAGCATCCTGATTAGTCATTGATTTATTAAATTCCTCCCTTTATCTCCCAACTTGGCTTGCCATCGTCATCGTCATTGAGGTCATTCCAGCTCCTCCAGTCACCGCCAATTTCAACTATATAGATAATCCCGTTTTGGTATCTCACAAGCGTTTATGATCCCGAAAGTACAGAACTCCCAGTTGTAGATTTAACCAGGGTTTGGGAAAAGGGCTTTGGCTTTAAATAATGATGATGATCATGAGATTTAATCATTGTTCTTTAACTCATGTCCTCCATGTGAGATTAGTGATCCTAGCTCTATGGATTCTTATACGATATTGAATTGTTACGGTGTATAAATATGTAACTATTGTATTTACCGTTATCATAAGTAAACCCTAATATGGGTCTACCATATATATACATGCATACTCCTTCGGCTGCGGAACATGAATATGAAACCATTCTTTCATTCATGAATTTGATCTCCATTGTTTCTGTTATGGATGTCGAGATTTTATTTTAAAAATATTGTACCTAAGTGCAAAATTTTCAGAATCAAAGGTCAATGGAGCTTCTTGTTATAGTGCTTTTTGTTTTTTTGGCATACATTGTTACAGTATTACTAAAGGTTATAGTGTATTTCATCCATTCTAAAATAAGTGTTATTAGACAAAAATACACAGTTTAAGAGGCATTCAATTATGATGATATATGAATTATTTAATTATCCTTAACTAATCAGTTAATGTCAGAGAAATAATTTATATTAAATTTAAAATTTGTACAAAAGAAACTAATTCACTTTTAGGAAAATGTTGGAAAACTCTGTCAAAAGATGCATTGGTAAACGAAAATGATACTTAATTTAAAATATTCTTTTTTTTTTCTAAAACGACACTTAAAAGCATAATAATAATGGAAGAAATTTCTTATTTTTTTTGGGTTTCCCCAGAATTATGGGAAGAAAATTGTAACGGCTTGGCATAGATTTTGTTGGGTTCCATTTCACCTGTAATTAAAGTTTTTGCCTTTGGGACATCACATTGATAGAAAAATGACAAATTTTGGCCGAACTTATTCGTTGAGAACGTGAATGAGCATCTAAACGAAGGGGACTACGGCATTAAGTGGTTTCCCTACGTGTTCTTCTGGAGCTGCCTTATGCTAATATTCCAAGCTTCTGTTGTAGAGAACTTTCATTACCCTCTTCCTTAAACACAAAATCAGTAGAGCAATTAGGTGTTGCAAGAGGTTTTTTCATCACAGGTCAAACACACAAATAGGTGATTTTTTATCTTCCGGAAGAAAAGGTTAAATATTTTTCCTTTTCCAAATAATTTTGTTTTTCAGTTCAATTTCACGTAGTTGTACTGTATAGTAGAGCAGCGATCAGACGTTATGATAAAGGCTGCTATATCTTTAACTTGTAAGCCACAAGACAATCACGATTAAAATTTATATGCCTTGCAGGTTTTGAAAATGGATAAAGGAAATAGCAACCAAAATGCTGACTTCATTTCCACACATTTTTCTCTTTTTTCTCACGAGTAACCCGCCCCACAGGTTGAATAAAAAGTTACAAAGATTAAAGGTTAAAAAGAAAAAAAAAAAGTTGGTAACGTGATAACCTGCTTCATGCATACACCAACTGGGTTATAATTGAGAGCATATTACACATCTCTTCCGTGTAAGCTAACAAACTCATAGAAAATGTAACCACATCAAAACATGCCCATCTGCCCATGAAAAGAGACGACGAGCTAATAATAGTAACTCTTTAGCAAAGAGTTGAGATATGGTAAAAGAACTTTCTACAATTGGATTTGGTCTTCATTAATGTAGTTCACTGTTTACTAAAAAACTGAAGTGAAAACCAGAAATGCATTTAGTCTAACGCAGGGCTTCCATTCGACATCAAACTCCACAAAGATGTACACTGATATCGTATAGATCGGCAGGTGATTAAATTTGTTATCATCACCACAAAAGCAGAGGTAGGCTTCATTACAAACCATGTGCGGCAATTTACAGCTGATTGAAATAACTGTGTAAGTATAGAGTGGGTATTTAAGATAATAAAGATAACCTAGTTTTGTAATTAGCAGACTAAATCAGTTGCTGTCAGTTCCCACCACCTGTATGTGCTGAAAACAAACTGTACTTGAGGCAATCTCTTAGACAAAAACACTTGCACAATCGTTCTCACACCTTCTAAGTTCTAACTAACCTGGAAAAAGAATAAAGTTGATGTTAGTGGGAAACAAACCTTTTATGATGTTGAAACAAGCAAAACTCAAATATAGCTCTAGCAAAGGTGTGCAGGTACCGTTTGTCTTCTCTTTCTGCGAAATTTATCACCTAAAATTTCCCCTAAGGCCTGTTCTGGAACAGGTATCAACTTGCCAATAGCTGCGAGCGGCCAACTGGTAAAAGAAAAACAGGATGGCAAACAATAAATACTAGTAATTGTACAGCAGATAAGTCAATTACAATTCTGACACAATAAGTAGAATCTATGATCAGACACCATTGAGGAACGACGGCAGAATCCAACTTTCCAATTAGGAAAAGGAAAATGTTAGATTGCTAACAAAAAACATATTACTACATCACTAAAATGGCCGCTAGAACACACAGTATCTGAAATAAAAGCAAACCTGAGGGCCCCAATGGCGATTGACACAAGCCATAGTTTCCAACTGAGTCTCACTGTTGATGTGAACTTACCCAGGAAGAATATGATAATAACCTGAAATCAAGAGGAGAGTATGATGAACTGTAACTTTATAGCTCATACCGACAAGAGATGGAGAACATGCTTCATACCTGAAGAACTAAGGTAAGTGCAACAATGCCCATGAAGAGATGGTTCTTGGTTACTCCTTTGAAAACATTTTTCTCATCAGGCTTGCGAGCATTGAATTCATTGAACAACTGAGATAAGAAGCAGTTTTGGTCTTTTGTCAGGCATATAACGGTGAAAAAATAAATGATGCATATAGCGGTTAGATATATAAGCATAAAGACGACGCTGCTTTAAGATTCGAATATTGATGGTCTACTACTCCATATTAACTTGCTGATTTTGACAATTACATAGAACCTCTAACACAGAGCCCAAAACCTATGACAAAACCACCATGAGGTAGTTCTTTTTACTCCTAAGAAAGAAGTGAGAGCACAGGTATAAGCCTCTACTTCAACCTTACATTCATGGCTGCTTTAGAAACCCAAAATTCAGCTCAGAACTTCAAATTAACGTTCCATGACTAAATCATTCTAAATAACTCGCAAATTTTCATTGAGAATCTCGACTGGAGTGACAAATGAACTATCAAGAACAAGTATTTCAACAGTCACCATAATTCAAGTTGCAAGATATTTTCAGCTTCCTTCTCTTGTACGTAGCAAAGCTACCAGTTCAGGAACCATAGATACTAAACTAGCACTTCAACTACTCCAGATATGCTAAAATATGCTATCAGTAACTCATTGAATCTTAGCAGGACAGAGCTGATATTCTCCCTCCGGATGTACATATCGCATCAGAGTACGGGTTAACACTAGATCTAGAGGAACAAGTAGAACACAAGGAATTGACCAACATATAGTTTCCAAAACCTCATTGACCACAGTGGCATGAATTTACTACCTGACAAAGCACAAAAGCGGTTAGATATTGATGGTCTACTTTAAGATTCGAATATAGCGGTTAGATATATAAGCATAAAGACGACGCTGCTTTAAGATTCGAATATTGATGGTCTACTACTCCATATTAACTTGCTGATTTTGACAATTACATAGAACCTCTAACACAGAGCCCAAAACCTATGACCAAACCACCATGAGGTAGTTCTTTTTACACCTGAGAAAGAAGTTGAGAGCACAGGTATAAGCCTCTACTTCAACCTTACATTCATGGCTGCTTTAGAAACCCAAAATTCAGCTCAGAACTTCAAATTAACGTTCCATGACTAAATCATTCTAAATAACTCGCAAATTTTCATTGAGAATCTCGACTGGAGTGACAAATGAACTATCAAGAACAAGTATTTCAACAGTCACCATAATTCAAGTTGCAAGATATTTTCAGCTTCCTTCTCTTGTACGTAGCAAAGCTACCAGTTCAGGAACCATAGATACTAAACTAGCACTTCAACTACTCCAGATATGCTAAAATATGCTATCAGTAACTCATTGAATCTTAGCAGGACAGAGCTGATATTCTCCCTCTGGATGTACATATCGCATCAGAGTACGGGTTAACACTAGATCTAGAGGAACAAGTAGAACGCAAGGAATTGACCAACATATAGTTTCCAAAACCTCATTGACCACAGTGGCATGAATTTACTACCTGACAAAGCACAAAAGCATTGAAGATCAGCGTGTTCTTCACTTTATTGGCATGGTCAGGATTGTCATGTTTCAAATCAAGGATACTTATGCCTCTAAAGTTCAATACTAGGAGCACAGTAACTTGATAAACAGCCTGTCATGTCAGAAAAGCAAATTAGGATATTATACAGCTTCCACCATTCAAACAATCAAAACACCAAGTGACGAAGCCATAGAAATATCAATACCTGAATCAACAAGTTGCGCCACATGATATTCGTAATAAGTGGCTCCCTAGAGAATAGAGGGAAAGATAAGTCCAAGTTTGAAACATAATCAGTTGAGAGAAATACAACTAACTACTACAACCTCTGGTAAACAGAAACCTGAGTTCATGATATCAATGCCCAAATATGGACTATGGAGTGTCAAAAAAGTCTTTCAGGCTTGAAAAAAGGAGGAGCTCAGCTTAAAATTTAAGCTCCATTATATATACTTATTCTACTTTTTTCATGGTCCAAAAAAGGAAATGTGTTTCCTTGAATTTAATTTTAGCCTAACCACAAATCGAATTAAGGCAAAAATAAAATAATCATACCGTGAACTCTTAACTCAGTTTTTAAGGCATAGCACTAAAATCTTTTTGGTCTTAAAACAGATTAAACACATATAACAAATGCTAAGATCACGAGCATTAAACGGCGACCCTCTGTTTGACTAGTTTTATGGATACAAAAGAGCTCTGATCATTAGTCAGTCCAGTATAGTGAATTAGGTAAACAAGCAGCAACTCCTATATATTTAAACCAACCGTCAAGATTAAAAGGCAATAAGCGCAAAAAACATAAACAAATGGGATGTAAAACACCAAAAGGACAAGGATCCAACAAATTACCCTTTACTAATAGGTCATCGATCATACAAATGAAAGACGCATAATTTTGAATGTATGAAGGAAAAACATTTAGTGATCTCTACAGATAACTGACCTTCGACCAACGGGAGGACGAGTCATAAGATGATCCGTCGGTGGTTCAGTGGCCAGTGCAAGTGCGCCAAGAGTGTCCATGATAAGATTAACCCAAAGAAGCTGCATTGGAACAAAGAACAAATGAAATGTGCATAGAGAGGAGAAACCATATAAGAACATTTATGCCAACAATTATCCTGGATGAAGGCCAGTTGATGTTTCAGAGATAAACCTGGACAGCATTTAATGGGACATCACCAGCTGAAACAGCAGCCACAACATTGATCACCAGTGCCGCAACATTTACTGTCAGCTGAAACTGAATGAATTTCTGGATGTTTGCATACACAGATCTACCCCATCTGACCACCTGGGTAGGACATACAAGAGAAAAAATCAGGAAAGGAGACTAAAAGTAGCAAAGATCCAATATCATACCCAAGTCTCTCATCCAAATAATGGAGCACAAACGTGATAACCTATTTCATGAGTGCAAATGTGAACCACAGTTAATCCAAATTCATAGTTTACCAAAAAATATCCAAGTTGGAAAACAGGTTGTCTTTTGTACAAGGTAACAACCCCCAATCACATTATGCTACCAAAAAGCTATCTTACCTTTACAACAGAAGCAAAGTTATCATCTAAAATGATGATATCCGAGCTTTCTTTAGCAACTTCAGTTCCTGCAATGCCCATGGCAAGCCCAATATCAGCCTGCATTGCATAAGAATACCAACATAGCATTAGAACATCGGTGATATTCTCAATTAAAGGAAACAAAAACCGCTGCCCCAAGGCTGGTTGTTTCCAAGTTCATGAACCATATGCATTGTCAAAAGGGAATTAGATTTCAGTTCTTTTGGCTGCGGGTGTGCTCTGCCCACCCTTGCCCCCAATCATCATAGAAAAGCAAACAAAAACTGATCTTCCATTTATATCCGTTCTCCAAGACATAGCTACCGATAGAATAATAATCTAAGCAGTGGAATCCACTTGAAAAATGTGTTTTCCTACAATTCATTGACGGTTAGATTAAACATTAAGCTCACCTCATGCAATGCAGGAGCATCATTGGTCCCATCTCCTGTAACCGCTACCACATGCCCCTTCTTCCTCAGTGCTTGGACAAGTAGAAGCTTGTCATTGGGGGAAGACCTTCCCATTACCTATTTATAAAAAGGCATCCGATCATTAATTTCATTTGCTAATAGGAGAAAAAAATGTATCCTTAAAACTAGCTTGCTCAAATTCAAGATTAAGCACTTACAGAGATCTTGTCAGCTACTTCTTGTCTTTCTTTCTCAGACAAGGCACGGAATGCCTTCCCTTCAATCAAATTTGGTTCAGTAGCATCAGAATCTGATTCTAAGATCCCACACTCCAAAGCAATTGCGCGTGCGGTGTTAAGGTTATCCCCCGTCACCATGCGTACCTTTAAATTGCAGAAAAAATTTTAGAATTCAAAATGCAGTGGTAGCGAAGAAACAGCAGGATAAGCAAGGATCAATCATCCTCCAAAAAGAAATCAATGAAAGCTAGACCCATGCAACACGTAATGACGCGAATGGAAGGTATAAACAAAATTCGAGGACATAGTTATCAAGCCACCAATTACTAGATATCATTAACTAAAACAGGTCTGTTTAATTCACGAAAAAAGGGAGATTTTTTTAATGAAATACATGGCCCTTGGCAATTCAAACAATAAAAATGGCAAATCTCAATACGAAACTACCATATCATGAAGAGACTTACTAGTAAAAATTATAAAGGTCTTGGCATAAGATCCAGGTAATAAAAATTCCAATCACTGTAATGTGGTCCAAAATGACTGGAAGTCAACATGTCGCACTGATTCAGAAATTAAATTTCAAAAAAGGTCTGTACTTGTGGTTTCCTACGGAATGCTTGCGGTTAACCGAATTATCTTATGTGGAAACATCCACATACATACATATTCGATGTTGTAACCCAAAAATGGCTTACTAAATGGAAATGGCATATAAAACAATGATCATAGCATCATAAATATCAAGAATAATAAAATAAAATAAAATGAAAAACTAATACGAAGATTTGTATATTCATCACGTAAATAGATTTTCAAAATTATAACAAAGTTGGAAAAATAAGACTTCAACCAAAAAAAAAAAAAGGACGACAAAATGCAAACCTTAACAACAGCATTTTTACAAAGCTGGACAGCCTCTCTAACACCTGGGCGGCAAGGATCCTGCATCCGGAACAGGGTTGAGAAATACAATTTCAACAAGTGAAATAGGATGACAGTAAGACAAAATGTAAAGAGGAAACCAGAAAGAAAGACAACTAATGATTAGCCCAAAGGAAATAACAGATAACATTCAAAAGGCAGGACACAATAAATGTAACCACCATATATTTTTCACATTGATGTAACACGGGCAGACAGTAAACAGGTTACTAAAAATGCCAAATATGAATGCTAAGGGCTTTTATCTAGAAACTATAAATAACAAAAAGCCAGACAGATGTGCCATAAACTGATTTGGATGCAAAGAAGGAAAAGGAGCTAAAGTACCAAATCCCACTAGCAACTAACATGTCTAATAAATCTCAAATATAGAAAAATCTTTTCTGCTTTAATCCGCAAATAACACGCATTTGAGTCCAAATGCAAAGGCGTATGTGTGTAGATTAAGAAACGATATGTATGTTGCATGAACTGTCTCAGGGAGAGGAAAAATGGGAAACAGAAAAAGGCATAGTAAGGGACCTTCATCAAGCACTAAGCTGCATAAAGGAGTGCTGTAAGTACTTTAACAAAGACGATAATTGATATATATCAAGCAAAAAAACAGACACCAAAGGTATGTAACCCAAAAGCAGGACAGAACAAAATGCAGGGGAAGAGGACAAAGAACGAAGAAATGTAAAAAGTAGCCAATGACACTTGAAGTCTACAATAATTCCTAAGAAACTCGTAAAGGTGCTCATAGAACTAAGAAATTCAACGTCAGATTTTGGAATTAGTAAAATCTCAAGTTAATGTCATATCTCAGAGCAGTGCACAGAAAATTTTGGAAACAATGATTTTATATGTACATTTCAACAATCAAAGGGCAACTGTAAAGGAAACTTTAACCATTTAAAGGGGAATATGACATGCCTTGATGCCCACAATAGCGAGTAAAATAAGTTCTCCCTCAGGCAGCTGCCAACGATTGAGGTCCTCCTCATTGGTAGGAATATCCTCAGCTTGATGGGGTCGATAAGCAATAGCAACACAACGAAGGCTCCTTGCAGCCATATCCTCAATAGCTTTCCTAAAATCTGACATCTGTTACAAAATAGCAATGCACAAAGGAAAAAAGAGTTACTCACTTCCATGGGAAGAAGAAATATTCTTTATTAAATTTCAAATACAAACAATTCTATGCTGGGTAATAATATTGACATTTCATTTGTTGTTATTGGCACTCCCCTTCTGTTGCGAGAGGCATGCTCAAGAGGCAAATTTTCTTTATTTGGCTATGGATGAGGTGCCAATAACAAACATGTTCAGATTTCATCAGCTCTTACATAAGATGCCCCACTAATTCAGATAGCAATTACAAAACTGATTATGCAACAAACTCGATTACAAGCAAACTGAAACAAAGCCAGAAAATGGTATACAAATATAATCACTTGTCAAAATTTTTGGCAACCCCCATCAGAGGACCTCATAATTTCACTTTATTGCAAACCAGTGAAATATAGAGTTAATTAAATAGGCACGAATAGAAGCCAAAAAGATCATTATAACATTCTAAGCCAAAAGGGACTCTGCACTGGAAGGAGAGATCAGACAAAAACAAACTTGAACTACATTTATCATTATTAATAACATTACAAGGCCAAACATGAGAACAAACTTTGCGCCATCAAAGGCTGATCAAGGTGTCAGCAGTTAATATTTTGGCTCTAGAAAATACTACTATGCATCCAGCACAAATTTACATATCCTTGCTTCTAAGATTGCAAACAAAAAATAAATAAATAAGTAAAACAGACTCATCTATCCGACCTTTTCATCAATTGGTTGCACGGCATCATTTTCATCCATGTAGCTTGTGCAAGAAGAAAGTACAATCTCAGCAGCACCTTTCCAGTGTATATGAACTTCAGATTCAGGCTGTGGAAAATAACAAATGAAAAGAAGACTACCATGAAAAATATTCATGAAAGAATGTGCCAAAAGCATCTTCATATGCTCAAGAGAGAAAGCTTTCAAAATCAAAAAATTCAACACAACATTAGCAGAGCATTTACAGAAGTACTAGAAACCAACACTTGTTGAGCAGTTATTGTTGCAAGTCATATTTGGTCCCCTGGGGGACCTTGTTTCCAACATCCTTGCGTGGGTAAAAAATGATTTCCAGCTGAAACACAACATAGCTAGGGCCTATGTCCCAAAGCCATTCAAACAGTGAAACCTTGACCTTCAACTTATAGGGGTTCGGTCAGGCAACCATCAATAGGGAAACTCCACAATTTCTCTAATAATCACTAGAATCTATGTTGAGGTCACATTTAAACTTGATAAAACGATATTAATTACCATCAACTCCCAAGATGATCCACCCAGAGAATGAGAAGGGGTTTGCGGGGGCGGAACGGACCAAAAAATATAGACAAGCATGGCATAATGAAGCCAGATGAGCAACTATAAACAAAAGAAGCTTAATGTTTTATCTTGTTACTTCAAACAGGAGTCTGCAGAGAGCTTCAAACATAGAATTTCCCAAGTTCCCCAAATATTACATAATAAGCAGCAACAAAATGCCGGAAATATTTCTTCAACTTTAGCATCTCACTACCTATGCATGCTACATTCGAATATGGTAATATATTCAACCAGAAGAAGCCTATAGTTTTGTCGTGTACCTTCCAACAAACACCAAATGCATTTTTCCAAGGGTTGTAGAGAAAGCTTCAAGTGTATGAAGACCCTAATCTTCTCACCCCCAAACATGAAAGGGGAAAAACACACATGAACAGCCACAAGAAAACCCCTCTTTAATATGGTAAGCTCCCAGAGAACTGGAAGACTCGTATTGATTTAAGAACATAAAGTATCTCTGCTTAGTGCTTACATGAAAGGGCCTTTCTACAAAGCCTGAAGTTCGGCAAAGGTTCCTACATGATTCTTTCCATTAACCTATCTCGAAATATCTTCAACTGTACAAACAAACTTCTATGAAGTTGCTACAAACTTTGATCCTAATCTTCACATATCAACTGTATAAGTACTAGCTTTGCAATTGGAAAATTCTAGATACAATATACAGAAACAAATTATCAATAATATGGAACAGAATACAATTAAAACAGAAAATGATAAATCTTTACCATCAAAACAAAAGGGCTCTTAAGTAAATTTGATAGAACAAGTAATGGGGTCAACAAAAATTTTTCATAAGCATTGAGACGTGCCTAAGAGAGCATATTAAGACTCAGATCACAAAGTTCTTTTCCCTGCTGCTTCCTACACATACCATTTGAAAATTAAACGAAGCTCACCCATACAATGACTCAATAATAGTAATTAAACTGGCACAAAATATCATCAGCTTGATAAAGTGTAAGCTGCATTACCAGTTTCACAGCGACACCACCTCGCTTTTTCTCCGAGTTAAATGGAAATGCATGAATTATCATTGACTTTGATCTGACATCGTCAAAATTCATCCCGAGCTACAGAAAGTTCAGAAATCATTTCAGATGGGGTCACAAAAAAGAAAGAAAGGGACAAAAGATCACAGAAACAAAGAAACAGAAGAAGGCTATAAAGGAGAATTAAGAGGGAAAGAGAGGGGGGGGGGGGAGAATGGAGGACGGAATCTTATAAACAGGAGCATTACATTAACTCCCCACTGAAGAATTGCCTTTTCTGTCGGTGATCCAGTGATCTCTACTTCTCCACCACCCTGCCAGACGAAAATGACAAATGATCAAATTGCATGATCTTTATCGCCAGGAAGCAACCAATGGATTTTATTTCATCTCATTTTTCCTTTTTGGATTTATCAGAAGAAAACCATCATATACAGGATAAGTATGTTATCTTTACTCCAAAACATGAACAAGAGGCAACAGATATTATATCATTCTTCTAAACACTCAAAACAAAGACGCAAAAATTTTGAATCTCACACTCTTAATGCTATGTTCAATTTCATTCATTGCTTTTTATGCAAAAAAAATTACTGGCTGCACACAGATTATGATTAATGTCTGAGGAATAACAAGAATCCTACAATCATATTTGATTCTAGAAAAGAGCCACCAGCAGTTCAAATCCATGCTGAGTTAAATAAAATCCATCATATGAAGGGCAGTAAGCTACCTCAGGAATAAATACACTGCCAATAGAATTCTGTGCAATGCCTTCCATAAGTAGAGATCCAACTTTAGGAGGCAACAGCGACTTGTTGTCAGGGCGATCAACTCTTTTGCCACAAATATAAGCCTCCACGACAGTCATCTGTAAAGTGATAAAAAATTGTAGTTCTTCGGAAAGGACATAAAATTATGGAAGTGTTGAAAGAGTAGGAGAGTGTCGAGCAAGATGGCAGAATAAAGATAAATCAACCTGATTCAATGTCAAAGTTCCTGTTTTGTCACTGCAAATTGTAGTGGCAGAGCCCATTGTCTCACAAGCTGAGAGCCTCCTTACCTTCATTTAATCAATAAAGACCAGTTTATAACTCATCTTATAGCTGTATCCATTAATGATACCTCCGAAGACAGACACAAAACTCCTAGAATAGATCTGAATGTAGAAAATTTATACATACCAAGGCTTTGTCCCTCATCATTTTTCTCATTGAATAGGCAAGCCTACAAGACAAGTTACAAATTTCAGCAAGTTAAGAAGTGCAACATCGAGTACATTTACTCATGGCCAATCAGTTGTGCAATTTAATGAAGATAGAAGCAGCCATGACACAATGATAAATGAACAGTGACAACACCAGACTATTATGTAACCAGATGAAATGAAAAATCCAATTGATAACCGCACTTAAAACTCAACATGCTCATCCACAAGATCAGTTCATTACCCATATAGCTAGATCACAATGAAAATGACTACTACCAAATAAAAGACTTACGTTAAAGTAACAGCTAATGGAAGCCCTTCCGGCACAGCGACTACCACAATGGTCACCTACAAGTTTCCTTGATGTTACTAATGTCTTCGATGCAATTAAAAGAGAGCATAATAACCATGGAAGAAATTCCAAAGAGACTTACTGCGACAGTAAAAATCTTAATGGCTCCATCTATAGCTTTACCCACTTTAGTCTTTCCAGCTTTAAATTGGACAGTTCCATTGGGGTCATATGTATGGCCAGTGAAGTATCTACACAAAATATACCCCCCGTGAGTCATGAAAAAATAAATCAAAGTATGGAAAGTATCTACACAGAATATGCCCCACATGAGTCCCAACAGAATAAAGCAATGAACCATCAAAGAAGTGTCCATCAACCTGATAACAAGAACAATGAGAACTAGTAATGCGACGGCTAGACCAACAATCCCAATAAAAGTTGCCACACCATTTAATCGAACCTGAAACACCAAAACACAAAGGAGAGTAGATTTAGATACTGAAGAGGGGAATGTAACAGGATAACTATCTCATTAAGATACCTGCAATGGCGTTTCTTCACCATTATCCTCCGAAATACTTGCCATCAACAAGCCCCATTCTGTATTTATCCCAACACTGGTCACCTGAAATGTTAAACCAAAAACTTACAACCATAAACCAGAAGACAAAATGCATGTGAAAAACAGATGGGTTCAGATGCAGAAAGCTCTAGCACCTTCAAGAGTCCACCTTGGATCCAAAAACTGATAAAAATTTGCTGAATAAAATTCGAATAAAAAAGCCTATTATCCAAACTTCACAACAATCAACAAAGACCCCTTGTTTTACCATTTCTCAACTAATGAATTTATTTCAACTATCCAAGTAGACATAGAAGAAACTGATGCGAATTGCATGAGAGTAAGGACGCCTTCCAGAATATAGGTAATCATATATAGGATCGTCTGGAACCGGCAACTTGACAGGTATTTTGTTGCCATATGTTTAGGCACTAGAATGTCAAGCGCTCAGACATGCAATAGTTGAAATAATTGTTCACATAAAAAGGTTCACCAGAAACAAACAATTCGAACACCTTACATAAGTGCCTCAAAACAGTTAGAAATCCTAAATATGTAATCCTGTTTATTCTAACAGCTTCAACCAGTGGAAATGGAGCATAATCCACAAAGCAGTAATAAATAAGAAAATCACAGGATTGGCTATTATTCTTTACCAGCATAGTCCCATAACCGTCAGCAACCTTGCACCCCGACATGAGAAAAGGATCCTTGGAATCCTTGTGAATCTGCAAAAGACATCCTTGTTCATGAGCAGGCGATTTATTCATTTCATATGAAAACTGAGAGAAGTCCATCTTTACACTTACAATTTTGCTCTCTCCGGTCATGCTGGATTCATCAATTGCCAGAGAATGACCAGACACTAAAACTCCATCAGCAGGTACCTAAGATTTGAAAATAATAATCAACATGAGTAATCCCAAATCAGAACAACTAAAAGCCAGCATATGCAAGCCCAACATCATTGAGGAATTATGCAAAATTAACCTGGTCACCGATTTTGAGAGGCACAATGTCGCCAACAACAACATCAAATATTGACACTTCCATCCTTCTACCACCTCTAACCACCTGTCAGATAAATATATTTAACCATCCCATGAATTATGAAAGGAACATGGGTGACTATCACGTGACTAAAGAATTCTCACCTCCAAGTGTATATTTTGCTTTTCCTCATTTAAACTCTGGAACTGAAGTGATTGCCGATAGTCACTGGTGGCTGCAGAATAATGAGCAGAACAAGATAAACCAAAGTGTATCAAGCAAATGTAGATGACATGCTACAACAAGGCAAACCATAAGACACCTTAGAATGATTAAAGAACAAATAGGGGTGTAATGTTTTAAGGAAGACCAAGTGAAGACAGCATATGCAACCGTAAAACATCAACACATCTCAACAAAGCTTTACCAAAATAAAATAGCAAAACATAGGTGAGAAGAACCATGACTACACATAACAAGTGGAACAAGACATGATACAAAACCATCAAGAGAGATCCCGGATTCTCCTAATCAAGAAAAGCTAGTGCACAGAATTAAATAAAACAACAAAGTACTTGTATTGAAGCAAACAGCAAGTAGATATATTTGTATCTGACGAATACTACCACATTGAGATAGTTATCAAAGGGGAAACACGTTTCCTGGCATAATAAGGGGCTGTTCATGCAAATTAACGATACAAAAGATGAACTCGAGAGGAAATCATGCGACAACATCAATACATGGAAAACTCACAACCAATTGTCAATAATACGCCAACCTATGTCAAACCTTAACAAGTTCCTCAACAAATCTCCACAGGTCGGAACTCATGTATTAAGAGGTCTCACTGATGGGAAAAAACTATCATACCTGTCACAACAATGACGATAAAGACTGCCAATGCAATGCTACCACCATCATACCATCCTTCTTTTATACCCTGATGAATATAGAATAAAAACATTTCATTAAAGAAAAACCAGTTAGTCAATAGCAAAATTGATTCTCCCATAACGGTTCTACATAGAGATAATTCATAAGCTTATGCGCAATGAAATGCTTTTAACAAACTTAAGTTCTCAACCTCTAAGTCATCATTTTTCACATCAAACACATGTACTTTTATGGGTCAGATTAGTTGGTGAAGCATTACTGTTAAACAAATTTTCAACAAAGTTGATTTTCCAGCAGTAGAGCAAGGCATTCCTAGTAACAAACCATTGTTGCGCAGATGTAAAGTTAAGCTTACCTCTGTTTTTATGCCGAGAGCCAACGAAGCCGCAGCCGCCACCATTAGAATGATTAGGGTAGTATCCCGACAAGCATCCCACAAAAACCTCTAAAGTATAAAAAGGGAAAAAGGAAATCAAGGAACAGTTACCATGTTATGTTCAAAGATAAACCCAATAGCTGTAAGAGTACAAACCCAAAAGCTGCGTCCCTTCTTACGGGGATAAGTGTTAGACCCAAAAGAATTCTTGCGCTTTAGCAAATCTGTCTCATCCCCAATAATACCCTTTTCAGGATTTGTCTTCAGCTTGTGAGCAAGACCCGCGACCTTATCCCAGAAAGCAAAAGAGAAATATAAATTTAACAGAGTAGATATGCATGATGGTTCATTCTTCATACAGTAAGAGATCACAAAGAAAGTGCAAAAAATATTGGGCTAACCCCTCCATGTTGCTGCAGGGAAGACAGCTGATGTTCTCTGGACATTTGAGAAAGTTCTTCCAGGCTGATATCAAAATCACCAGTAGAAGCTGAACTCAGAGGGTGCGGCTTCGGGGTTTGTGGCGCTAAAATCAATAAACCATCGTCAGAATGTTCTAACTGACAAAAATAATGCTTCAAGAGTGATAGTCAAGACAGAGAACACAAAAAGGAATTAGGGAACTTAATGTCAGTATCTTCCAAAGTTTGCAAAGTCCATGAGAAATGTTACAAGCATCAAGCTTAGTAAAATTACAGAGGGAACTCTTTACCTTCTGTAACTTGCCCAGCAGCTTGAAAGAGAACAGCAGCCTGATAAGGTTTGGTCGTTATAAGGTGCTAAATTAATGATTAGAAGGATTAGACACCAAGAGGCTCAAACCACAATACTTACTCGGATGACTTGTGCATGTGTTCTAATCTTTGCAAGCAGCTGCTTCCTCTCCTCTTCCTTCTTTAGGTCCAACGTATAGCGAAACCGTCGTGAAGCATTAAGCACAAGAGCAGCTTGCTAAAGGACAAACAGAAAATCCACTAAGTCTGAAGTTACCAAACAAATACAGCAAGAAAAGGAAGAGTCTATCCCTTTTTCACCTTGAAAAGCATAAAGAAAGTTCAGTTAATCTGCCACCTATTTTCCAACCCTTTAAGTCTAGATAAATACAACTCGAGTGAAATTTTCAATTAAACCATCCAAACACTCATCTTCTCATTCTACATTCTAATACAGAATATGCTATAATATCTCATACAATCAACATTTCTGCATGAACTCAGTAGGAATGTTCAAGAACTGGACAAACTAGCATCCAAACCAGAACAAAAATTCATCTTCCAAAGGCATTGCTCTAACAGCTGAGAAGTGGCACTCTTGTCCAAAGTGAGCATGTTGAGCTTCATATGCTTCTGTTTGCTTCACTTGTAATTTCCATTCCAACTCATTCTGTTTATTTTCATTTGTATACCATTTATATCTTACTAATATGCAAGTACTAAACATTAGATTTCCTTTCCTTATCTGTGGGTGATCATTAACACGAATTGATAGTTCTTTGTTACAAATTGCACCTAACGCTCCAGACATTAATCGGTCCCAACATCTGCAAACACAATTTGCAGCTTGATATTGTTTTCAGACTTTCCAGAGCACACTATATTTATTAATCTTTAGCTGCAAACAATACTTTCGATTTCTTTAAATGTCTTAATCAAATGAGCATCTGTCTTGACAACTCCTGGGAAAAGGTTGCGGGTACTTTTACGATTTCCTAAAGAGTGACCCCAAAGCCTTAAGGTGCATTTAAATTGTTATGTTCTTAATAGTTTCTTACTTTTTCTTTCACTAAATAATCAAGCAACAACAGGCAAATGTTCGATCAACTACCACGTAAATAATCTTAGATCTTAGACTTAATATTCTCTACGGCTCCACCTACAAAACCTTCGAAACAACCCCAATACACTGTTTCTCCATCTGTACGCAAAGGCCCCAATCTTTTCCCAGATATTGTTCTTTCCAAAATTGCTGATTAAAATAGGCACAGCACGTGGCATCACAAGCCAAAACTTCACAAAGGACTAAAAAACATCAACAGAAATAAGAAAAACAATACCACACCACAAGTGGCCAAAGACAAACTACAGGTAATAAGTGAATCAAAATAACTCCGGCCAACAAGTGTAGCTTTCACCCATTCTTCCACCTATCTTATTTTTACAGCAATTTTCCCACCCAAACACACTAACAATGTTCTTAAATTTCAGAAATTCTCAAGTGCGAGTTTCACAAGACACTGTTAGCAGGAAATAGCTATTTCAAGAAAATACACAGCAAAGTTCACACAAGGACGACTAATTATCAAGAGGTCTCACTTTATTATCATTATTAAGAAAAAGAGAAATTAGCAAAAAGAAAGACCAAGAATATCTTAAGAAGACAGAGCCTGTCTCCGTCTCCACAATTCAAATTGAAATACAAAAATAATAGTAATTAAAAGAATTCATAAACAACATCACTCACCCGCCACCGCCTCAACCGATCGACAGGCGCGCTTTTAGTACGAACAATATCAAAAGGCCCAGACGCTTCATCGTCGTCGTCGTCATTGTAGCCAGGTCCGGCGCCGGACTCCAAATCATTGTTCCGGTGACGCCGATAAGGCGAGGACGGCTTAAATTCGTCCGTCATTTTCCGTTAAAAATCACACTTGAAGTACTGTCGCAGGAGAGATGACACCGATTGGGAACTAATTTTGCAAATATAAACACTGTTTCAATTCGATTTTCTTTTTTTCCGGCATACCAAAGGCAAAGCTTAAATTTCAAAAAAAATAAAATAAAAAAAATAATTTCAAAAAAAGCAAGAACAAAATCCTGTAAATTCCAAACTTCGAACAATGTGCTAGGGTTTATTCTGCTGAAAGGACAAAAACAACCGACCAATATGCAGTAGAAGCCACGGCCCACGCGTAGCGCAAAATACTATATTCTACTACTCCAAATATATATACTTAAAGGCAGAATTTAATCCAGCATTAAATAAGTATTATCATCTTCAATGTGATCACAGTCGCACAGAGGAAAAGTTATATTCGAATTCGATGATTTCGATCATACCTTAACGCGACAGAGAGAACGAAACAGTTTCCAAGAACAGAGAAAGAGCTCTGGGAACGTGCTACGAAATTTCCTGGAAGTTGCCTCCTGGAATTTCAAGTTTTAAATGTATTTTTAAAAATAGAATTAATTTTAATTTTTTCCCTTTTTCGTTTTCTTTTTCTTTTTTCTTTGTGTTTCATTTCCCCTTAAAGATGACTCCCGGGGGTTTATTAGGGACTTTTGGATTGGGCCGGCGGGCCCGTAAGGTATGGATCTCTTTCTTCAGTTGTACTTAAAGGGTGAAAAGCTGAGTTGCTTTAATAGTGTTTGTTATATGACTTATATATCTAAGAAAATGGGGGAGGGTGAAAAAGAAAAAGGTTTAAGAAATTGAAAGTTCATATGGGATGAGTTGCGACATATGGCTTTTTTTCTTCTTTTTTTTTTTGTATTTTATTACCCAACGCCATGTGTAATCTCATGACTCATGAGGGTTTCCAAGTTCCAACCTGTACTTTTTCTTTTCTGCTTCCCAAAAAACAATGATTAATTGTTACATATTTTGTTGGATAATTAGTCTCTCAACCGCAGTTTTAAAACAATTAGCGAGTATTTATAAATAGATAAGTGCAACCGATGTTTATAATTCCACTTTTTTTTTTGTTTGGGTTTATAAATCCACTTTCTATTTTATTCGTTCTTTTTATCTCAGATATATTTAAGTTGAGGATACAAAAAACTTTTATACTTTGTGTCTCAAAACAAAATAATAATTCGCATTGAATTTTAAGTTATTTTTAACCCCGATATATTTAAGTTGAGACTAGACAAAACTTTTATATTCCCTCTATCTTTAAAAAATACTCCCTCCGTCCCATAATTATTGTCCACTTTGTCCAAAAAATTTTGTCCCAAAATTATTGTCCCATTTGACTTTTTATGGATCAAGTTACACATTTGTCCTTAGTAAAAAATATTATCCATAAAATCTTTGTGGTTAAACAATTACTTATGTAGGGGTATATCCGGTTGTTCAAGGTAAAATATAATTAAATTTGACTAAAAATAAAATCTTTCATTTTAGTAAAACTGGACAATAATTATGGGACAGAGGGAGTAGTTTATATCGAGTTTTAAATTTTATAATTTTAATACAAATTTCAAAACTAAAGGTACACAATTTTTTGAATGGAGAGAGTATCTCACTATATTAGAAATAAAAACTAAATTATAGAAAATTTGCATCCATCTGTCAATAGTAGTACACATCATATCACATTAACTTCCCAACATGCCACTCTAAATCTTCTCCGGAATCGAGTCGTGCTCTAACGATTAGGACGTGTACCTTTATCCGTGAGGTAACGGGATTGATTCTTAGTACGGACGCAAAAAGCAAGCAGCTGAATGAGGAAGCATGTAGCTAACCAGCAGCAAGGAGGTCTGCCATCGGTTACTGAAGACATGACACACCGAGTAAGAGGCACACGCGAGTAGTCTTCCAAATAGTACTATCCTCTTCTCCAGTAGGCTCTGTCCTCGTTATAATAATCTAAGTACCTTAAAAAATTTCATCTTTTCCAGAGTCACCCATTGGGACATCTCGTTATATAATTCAAATGGTTATTCAATACTATAAATATTCAACCACTTATCATTTTTGAAGGAATGGGGTGATGTGTTTCGAATCCACCAAAATAAAACCAACTTAAAACTTGTAGTTAGGAGTGTGCTTTTAGAAAAACCGAACTGCGGTCAACCTGACATAGTCCTTGATAATTTTCAAACCAAACTGAACTGAACCGGTTTGGTTCGATTTTAACTTTTTCTTTTTGGCCTTTTTTTTTGGCCCTTTTCTTCCCCAAAATATTACAATATCTTCTGGTACTACCTGATCTACGGTGGGAATAGGAAAAAAAAAGTTTAAATTTAACTAATTTGTAATCTTATACACTTGTGTGTATAGATCAACCTTGAATCGGATTATGAACTAAACTCAACAACGGGTTAGAATCGATTTTTTTCCCTCGTGAAATTTGTAAAATGCTCAAACAACTTTAATGATTCTAAGAAAATAAAATGTCCAGTGTTAACCAAATTTTTTTTAAAAAAAAAATGTCTCGTAAACTTAAGCACTTCATCCAAAAAAAAAAAAATGTCTAGGGTCAACGAAAGAACAATGTCCAACAAACTTAAACACTTCACCTAAGAAAATAAAGTTTCTACATAATATTTCAAACCAAGTTCCACAAATTCGTCACCAATCACTACAAAAACAACAATCTAAACTTCAAATTCAATGAGAGGATGTGCATCATTCGCTCCAGACGTACCTAAAAGATCTAAACCAAAACAAGAAATACAAGTCACACCATGATCACAAGCCAAAACAATAATTGAAAATTAAAACAATAATCCCTGACAACAACTACTTTTGATATAAAACACTACTTTAAAAATAAAAGATATTGAAGAATAGAACATACTTGATTCAATTGTATCAATAGCCTCGATCTATTCTACCTCTTTCTTAAAGTTGACTATCATGTGTTCTTTTCGTAACTAATCACGGGCACAAACGATAGTCTATAGCATTCTCAGAGATAATGAACTATGATATACATCAAGGACACGACTTTCTGCACTAAATGCCGACTCTGAAGCCATAGTGAAGACTAGCACAGCCAACACATCTCTAGCAATCAAAGAAAGTGTAGGAAATCTTTTTTTGCTTTTCACTAAAAAAGAACATTAAACTTACTATTATTCTTATCACAATTCTCTTCAAGCAAGTACCTTGGTAGCTCTGTCTTGTCTACAACATATTTATTTTCTTCATTTTTAACAAAATAAGAATTAAAGAACGAAGCAACATCCACAGTTGCATCGCCTTTTGTCATATCATTCATATTCAAATTCACAGGTTGACTCAAAGTGTCTCTATGTCGTGATACAAGTGATGAACTATAAGATACAAACAAAGCCCTCAATGTCTTTTCTACCTTCTTAGACAAATCCAAGAATGTTTTCCTAAAGTACCAGCTTCTCCAGCTTCTCTTTTACGCTTCTTAGTTTGTGTACTACTCGAAGGTGCAGCAGTAGCTTGAGTGTCACTCCCTTCCCTTGAGTGTCACCTCCCTTAGATGAAATTCCATCCTCCAAACAAGTAACATCATCATCACTATTAGCCTCAGCCATCTACAAAAATAGTTGATGAATAAAAATAATTAACTAATGAGAAACAATCCGCCGAAACCAGACTCTCAAATTTGAAAAATTCGATTATGCAGAAAATCAGACTGAGATTTCTATTTTGAACACTTCTTATGACAAAATCTAACGCAAATTTTAAACATATAATGTTGATGGAGTATTTCTGAAGATGCACTATTTTGATTTTTAATACAAATAGAGTTTTCAGCACCTAAACGAACAACACTGCAGCAGAGTACAGTGTGCAGATATTGAAAAATGACAATAGGGGACATGTACCATATAAGAGGGTTTCAGAGTACCTAGACAACTAACAGAACATAAAGGACCAAGGGTAGATCATGCAAGTAGCAAGTTAGATGCTTACCTTCAAATAGCAGCCTTCCAACTTAACATAAATGGCTCAAGCTTGATCCCTTGTAGTCCACACAAGTTAAAGAAATATATTATTAATACTCCTAGATTCTGAAACTTAACATAGAGTAATGATATTCTTAGTGAATAACATTGATAGTAACCGAGCTTAATTAGAAGAAAAGTTTTCATGATTCTTTTCAAATAAGGACAACCATTTGAAATACTTTTTGAAACATCATTGCCATGAGAGCTGCACTTAGGAGAACCATTTCCAAATAAGGAAGACATTTTTAGGTGGGCTTTTGTAAATTAGCACTAACAACAAGGAAGACATATTACGAATAAGGAAGACATTATCACAGCAAATGGCCATAAAAAATCAACATGAGTTGAATCATATACATAAATGTAAAGAGTGGCAAGATTGGGTAACAATGAGTTGTGTAGAAAACTCACTACTTGTTTTGTTGTTCAAGTGAAATAATACACATTGAAAAATTAAAAACAACAATAAGTAGTTCATGACTTATGAGAAAATTGGTCTGCAAAACAGCACTTCAAATCGGTTTTAGAAATTTCAGATTTGGTTTGTCAAGTTCAAACCTTTTTTCGGGCAATCCATAGCTCCAATTACAATCCGCAAAATCTGCAGTAAACTCCCACAAATATAGAAGAGATTTAACAAAAAGAAGTCTTGAAAAACAGTTCAGAAAACAGGAGAAACGATTCCCAGAAAACAACAGCTCAGATTAGATTTTCACGAAGTGCTTGTGATGTTCAAATTGAGCTTTTGGCTAAGCTACAACTACGTCAAACTTTATTAAACGAAGAAGAGTTTCATAAAAAAATAATTTCACAAAAGTGTGATCAGAAACAGTGAGAAACAAGCTCTTCAAATCAGCAACGTGAATCAGATTTTTCACGCGTTCATTGATTGGATGATCATGTTTATATCAACTTTTGCAACACCCATAGCTCTGGTTTGAAAACCGAAAAAAGGAAGCATACAATAGGCATATG